GATGATGGACTTCATGATCAGCTCTGGCCTCATGACCGACATGGCAGCAATGCCCGTGCCGCTTTTCGCTGTGCCGTAGGCGGCACCTAAGGCTGCAAGAGAGAAAAGGCACAGGTGAGTCTTACCAAAGGCCCAACACATCACGTAACTAAACCTCTAATCCCTAAGGCAGGGGTTAGCAACCTGTGGCTCTGGAGTCACATGTGGCTCTTTCATCCCTCTGCTGCGGCTCCACAATTGATAGGATTTAGGACAGGCACAGGAAAAAGGATGCAGCATTAGGAGACGACTATGGTGGGGGACACCGGACATCCGGAAAAAGGATGCCATGCTAGGAGAAGAATCTATGGTGGAGGAACTGGACTTCCAGTCAGCTCCAGAATTGAACAGGAGGCTTCTGGTTGGGAAGTGTGACTCTTTGAGTGCTTATGGTTGCCGACCCCTGCACTAAGGCATCCGGCAAGAGCCTTTCTAAGTGTCCCTTTTTAAAACCATGCCAGGTCATTTATACATACACATCTATGGTTGAAATTTTCATTCATTCATTCGATTTTTATGATCACCCCTCTCAATCCATGACAGCTAGAAGTTCATCATTCTTCTAGGTAACAAGCTTAGTTCAGTACGGATGCAACTTTTGTTCCTTTTGTTTTACAAAGGTCAAGTTTGACCTGAGCAGGGCGGAGAGGACTTTGTCACACAGGGAGGCGAAGCTGGGATATATTTTTTTTTCTTGATCCTGGGGAATGTTAGGAATTTCCTTGATATTAAATATATACTTTACACAACACTTAGACCCCAATTTTGCCATTTCCAAAAGCAAGAAACATATTGCTATACTTTTTAGAAATCCTGGTCGAGGTTGCAAAAACGATCCTCCCTTTGCTTCATTCACTGAGAAGCAGCATAATAATTTTGAAATGTTATTAGATCAAACTTTCCCTTTCCTTTTCAATACCCCACAAAACAAGAAAAAAGAGGAAAGCAATGTCAGTACATGGGAAAGGTGCAATCTGTTTACATAACCAACTCAAACCGCTGAGCTTGTTTTCTTCACCTTCAATGAGTCAAAGTCTACCCAAGCACAAGCCAAGTTGGACTTCTTGTATGTCCCAACCTCACCCACGACATTTAGCAAGAGCACCTAGACTTATATACTCAGTAAGAATTGGAATTGCTGGCAGTGGGTAGTTAGCCTGCAATATGTCAGGCTTGCATTTATATTTCCTTTTAGAATTTTGGCTGCCACACTTTCTCTTANTTCCCCCCTTTCCCAGTTTTATGTGAGCCGCCCTGAGTCCCCTCAGGGAAAAGGGCGGCCTACAAATTCTAATAAAACAAACAAATAAAACAAAATTCTAATAATATTACAAAATTTAAAATACTATACATAACTGCACAAATTATACATATTTCTGAAGCCACACAAATTTCAAAAATTGTTCAGAAGTGATGCTTCAAACTTTGCATAAACACAGCACCTCTCTGCTATTCATTACAGCAGCTTGTTTTTGTCCCCCCATTCAGGCATAAATCCGAGCTTGAAAAATGTTGCTGCTGCTGCTTTAAGGATCCAATTCTAAATGCAAGTTTTAAAAGAGCTACATCTTTTCTCTAGTTCGCCTGAAAAAAGACAGACAGCTGCATGGTTTCCTTGCATACGTTCTGAAGCAGCTCTTTTGAAACATTTACAAAGTAGGCACATCCCTAACATAAAGTATATACACATACAAGCAGCCACTCTATAATAAACATATACAAAAATATTGAAACAGCGAAAACCACATTCAACACGTTTCATCCTCCATACATATTTCATGTTCTGCTTCATATTTCATAATTTCTAAACTTCCGCAGAAGTTCAGATGGAGTGTCACCCGACCAACGGAAGCGCAAGTGCCAGCAATTTGGATCTGAAAAATTATGTAATGAAAAGAAAATGAATTATTTATAAGACTAGAAATAGTGTGACGGTTAAGAGGATTTGTGCATACAATTACATGTTATTAAGTGGGTTTGTGATGGTGGTGGTGTTCTATATTATAGAATGTGCTATAATCAGGTTTACCTGGTGAATCTGGGCTTTTTGGTGACATTGGTTTCCCATCAAAGATTTGAAAATCCTCCATTTCCTTTCCATCAGTGAATAAATCATCCCTGTTAATTTCTGTCTTCAGTGAAAAATTATCAGCCATCTTGTCATTACGATTTGAATCAGGAGCATCCAACATTGGCTCTTTTTTATCTCTGACAGCCCAATGCATTGACTAGAACAAGAAAAATATATATAATTTGATTGCCAAAATAAAGATCTAGTACAAAACAAGCATATTCACACACAATGAATGAGCAGAAAAGTTTCAGGATGATATTGTAGATTAACAATGGTATTGTATGGGTTAATATCTCTGCCAACCCCTTAAATTTTAATTATTCTTGTAGCAGTGTATTTAGATTTAACAATTGACACAATGGGATAGTTTTAATTTTGTTAGTCAATGACTAAAATAAATGATGTTGGTGTTATTGGTAATTTCCAGTGGTACTTTGAGGAATGAATGTTGTGTGTGTGTGTGTTTGTGTATGTTTGTAGATAAAGAACTCAAGGGAGTCATTAATAAATTATTTTGTTTACTTGACCAAATCAATTGATTGTGGTAGTGATAATGGTACTGATAGTGGTTGTAGCAATTTTCAAACAGAGCTTAATTAAAAAAAAGTTATTCTTAGTTTTCACGTAGAGCAGTGCTGGCGAACCTTTTCGGCACCAAGTGCCAAAATGGGAGTGCACAAGTGTGCTGGAAACTGAAAGAGCAACCATCCAGTGCGCATGCGCACGCCGGGAAAATGATTTTCTGGTTTCCGGGGCACAATGTGCATTGGCCAGCTGGTCTTTGTGTGCGCTGGTGTGCCAGAAACTGGAGAACTAGGAAGAGCAATGGGCGATGGCTCACTTGCCCAGGGAGATGGCTCCATGCCATAGGTTCACCATCATAGAGGGAAGGAGTATTGTTACTATCACAGGCCAGTTTTGCCTCAAAGGTTTGCCTCAAAGTCAATGACCCCTTTTGCACAGAATTGTTTTTCTATTGGGAAAGAACAGTCGTATATTCATGGTGGAATCTATGCCTTCATGCAAGCTGAAGATTCCATCCATCTGGCCTCACAGGAAGACTGAAAAGGGCACCACATAGTTCCTGAAAAATTCCTGCCACCTGATCTTTTCAATTACAGTTCCCATAAGTCTCAGACATCATGGTCAATAGATTATTGAAGTTGTTGTGCAAAGTGCCTGTTAGGCTCCTTGGGTGCTCTCTGAGCTGGTTATTTTCTTTGATGTAGCATTGATATTGGTAGCATTGATGTTACCTAGTTTGCTAATGAAACATCTGCAAGAAAACCTCAAAGCTCAGAGAACACCAAGGACAGTTCAGCGCTATAGATATTCTTTACTATCAAAATGCCGGTTTATTATATAGGACTGTGATGGCGAACCTTTTTTTGCTCGCATGCCAAAAGCACAGGGAGCACAGGGGGGTTGTGTGCGGGCGTGCCACACCCATAATGCTATGCGCACAACCCCAGCNGGGGGGCAAAGGGTCCTGCCTGAGTTCCTTGACCCTTGTTCACTCTCTTAGTACCCTAACTATACTGCAGATTCTCCGCAGGTGAGGCTGTGTGCTATAGAAACTGGATTGAAAGCAGGGACATAAAAAAAATTGCTAAAGGCAACATGATTCTATTCAGGCTTCTTTTCTAGAAATTTATCGCAGAATGCTGCCTGTTATCTTCTGCTCTGCTGCGTAAACAGTCCCAGAACAGACCAAAGTCCTCACAGCTGAAAGTTCTCTGGAGCAAAGTTATGAGACCGTTAGCTTGTCTGTTGTTCAGCTTTTATTAATATCTCTAGTCCTTGACTTAGCCACGAGTATGTTTACACCTTCCAGCTTCCTAGGACAGGGCTACTACCCTTTGTAAAATTGAAGCCCCATCAGAAAAGGCAAACTTTCAAGCAAAACTGCATTTAACGCAACTGTTCTGGAAAAAAACATAATCAGAAATGACTGTGTGGGCGGGTTTTTGTTTTGTTTTTGAGAGTCTGTGTTTGCAGATTGGCTCACTGTTCAAGGTGATGTTTCATTTCTGCTTTCACATACTAAAAAAACATTTAAGTAGAAAGATGTGCCAATATCAAATGATGCTTCGCCTCTCTGTTTTCCAGATACGTCCATGCTACAATGCCCCAAACCAATCTGACGGCTTCAATTCTTGAAGCTGCGGTGCCAACATGGGCAGAGGCTGTGCACACATACTTGCTAGGCACAGTTCTAAAGACAGGATTGATTGTTCACTGCCTTTCGTTTTCAAAGCCTGGTGAGTTCTGGATCCCGGCGCATGTGCACCCACCGCCCTGTGACATTCCAGCTCAGAGGAGGTCGCACAGGCGCTGTACGCTGCCCGTGTGTGCGCAAATGGCCCAGTTAGCGGTAAGGAACATGGGCGGGTGGGAGGGCCCTCCAAAGCACCGTTCCGGTACAGTGGCCGCTGCTCCCAGCTGCCACCTGTAAGCTCGTACCGGGGCATACCGCCTGGAACCCACCACTGTTGCAGGCCACCTTAAGCCCTATCACCCGATACTAGAGGACTTGTAACAAGCTAGTTAGGTGTTCATACCTGTTTGCCCAGCAAAACCAGGTGACCCACACTTGCTAAACCAGTTCTTTCTTGGCTATGTAGCTGCTCGGATAAATCATATGTAATTGCTACAGGCAGGTCCATGTCTACAAGAGATACTGGACAGTTGAGACGGTCTCCTTGTTACTATGAGCATCACAGGGAGCTCAACCCACACGCTTTTTTTATTCCGAACGGAAAGCAAGAACTACATTTCCAGCTTAATTGCATCTGTATTTGTTTTCATAGAAGGCCAAGTATGCAGAAGTAATTTTGATCGTTCCTTTCTGAGAAACTATCATGGGGGTATCCATCTGTTGATGCCTTGTCTAGATAAATGCCAAGTGAATAGTTATGGATCAAGGGATTAAAATTGATCACTTTAATCCAATGGAGACTTCCAAGAAAATCTCCTGTATCCATATTTCACAAGCACAGTAGAATAATTTAAAGGGCGGCAGGGATCAGTTTTCATTTCCTATGAATGACTCTTGGGGACACATAACATCCTCAAGTATTCCTCCAAATAATAATGGCACTGGAAGTTGGCACTGCCAGTTTACATTCCCTTCTTTTTCTATAGGCTCTGCAGGAAAAACATTGAGGTAATTGAGATCTAACCTCACTGGTATTCATTAAGACCCAGCTTATGAGAGATAAAATATCTCTTAACCCTACCCCAAACAGGTAGCTACTTGCATCTAATTCAAAAATTAAAAACTCGTCTCTAGATATCAACTAGTAAAAAGAACAAGTGAAGTCCAAGGCATTTGATATATAGTGCATATGAGCATTTAAGTCGCAATGAAGCTTGCAAATTCTTGCATAACTGTAGTGAAAAGTTTAACAGTTTCTCTTTACATAACCTGATTTTAGATCTTATCACAGTTTGACAACATTCTTAAAAACTATTTTTCCCCTTGATGCAATGTATTTGGTGAAACAATCATTTTTTCCTTTAGCCAATCGGATTTGGTGGATTACACTGGGAGCAACACAAAAAGTGATTGATTGATTTTTTTAAAAAGGTACCTGAGGTCCAG